CAATATTTTTTTTCAACAAATTAAAACAATTATTACAAAAATATTTTGAAATCACTAATATAAATATAAGGTTCTTTCAAAAAAGATGAAAATTTTCTCTGACTATTAATATATCTTCTAAAATGTTTTCTTTGAAACCACTTTGTAGTCTTTGAGGATAAATTTTAATCCAGAAACAGATGCTTCCTGGCTCACTTGTGTTGCTGGTACTTCAAAATTTTGAAGATGATCGCACTTGATCTCTAATTTCTCCGATTATACTGGATTTCACTTTGCGTGGCAATTCTTACTCAAGTTATCGGCGAACTCAGTCGGAAAAACAAACGAAAAGATAATAAAAAATAACATAGAACTTTAAAAGACGAAATTTTATCTAAATATTTTTTTCTGAATTTTACAAAAAATTTTTCTTTTAAATTTTTAGCATCGAGCAGTTTTTTATTTCGTTACGGTTTTTGGTTTCGGTTAAACTAGCAAACAATATCTTCGAGCAAAATTTCGGTTTTTAACGATTTTCGGTTACATTTCAGTTCCGGTTTGATGCCCTGCAAAAAACTAGGACCTTTTAAATCTTTTGACTGTCTACTGATTCTAGCGGATTTATATTACTTACCTACGCAAAGATATCTACGGGAGTTTTCACCGGACCACAGATAACAATATTTCGGTTCAATTGCGGTTTTTGTGCCGGGCAAAATTTCGGGTTTTAACGGTTTTTGGTTACGGTTCAGTTCCAATTCGATGCCCTGTTTAAAACAGCTGTCTATGAAAGACAAAGTGATATGTCTAAATCAAGTTGCTTGTGTTGATTGCAAGTGAGATTTAATGGCTCCTCTTTTGTGTATGCATTTTGTGATGTCATTAAAGTGACGTGGTCGTAACACCAATATACGAATGTTGTTGACGCGCACATTTAAAAAAAACGCTTTAAAGTAGAATCGTTTTTACGAGTGCAGTTCTTTAATTTTATAGTATCATTGATTGGTATAATATTTCTTTTTAATGATTTGTTTGAGGACTACTTCGTCTGTTTTTTGTGCCGTTGACATATGATTTCTGTAATACAGGATTATGTCGTTGTCCTTGTTATTTTTAGATATATTGCTATCTTGTTGTAGTCTTTGTTGCATGATGCTCTCAATGTATGATGTTTTGTAACCCTGGTTTACAAGATTAGTAATTCTTATCAGTTCCGTATTGCAATCTTCAATTTAGGATGAATGCTTGAATGCAAGGTTCACATAGGATTTTATTTTACTTACTTTGAGTTGTTCCGTACATTCACTTGACCCATTTAAACAAATACCTTTATTTGTTTAAATGACGTATACGGCAGTTGTAATCTTTGTTCGTCATGCGTTACTAAAAAATTTAGAAATGGTAATGAATTTTCACTTTCGTGCTCGATGGTGAAATTCAATTTTGATTGGTTCAAGGTTGCTAGTAACTGGTTGATTTGTTCCGGATCATCGTATGCGACGAAGATATCGTCAAAATATCTGACATAAATTTTAGTTTTTAATTCCGCGTTGTCTTTAAACGTTTTGCTCCCAAGTTGTCCGAAAAAGAAATTTGCGAACAGGACACCGAGTGGTGAGCCAATGGCTACAGCTTCAATTTGCTTGTATAGCTTGCCTGTGGGGGTGTGGAAAGGTGTTTCGGTTGTGCAGATTTAGAGAAGAGATTTGAGAATTAACAAAATCGATAACAGCAATAAATGCAAATCACAGGAAGAAAGGCCTGGGTTACACAAATTCCCTATAACTGCAACAAATTATCTGTATAAACAAGTGCCAAAGAGGATTGAAAAATCGAAATAGGTCCTATACACTCGAGAATGAATTGTAAAATTTTATATCATACTAACTAGTAAAATAAATAATGTAAAAAATAAACAAGTATTTGGTTAGAAATATTGATAAATGTAATAAAAAACTATCCAACGCTAGAAATTTGGTAGATTTCATAAATCACTGCATTATATATATATATATATATATATATATATATATATGATGAAAATCACGAGATCTCTAAAACCAAGCGACTCCGGTTGAATTAAAATTTGGCGTAAAAATTCTTTTTGGTACCTAGAAACTCACTAGGAACTGATTTTTCTCTAATTCAATCCAAAACGAAGTTTTAGAGACTAAAACTTTTACAACAAATTTTTTTTATTTATATTCATTCATGGGGCTCCTTAGCCGTGGTGAAGGCAACTCATCTAGGCGAGGGGCAACTCCAATATAAAACCTGGGTAGATGGAGCTCGTTAACCTTGGCTGGTAGTCTGTCTAGTGATGGTGTCATGATAAAAATATTCAGTTTCCTGTGCTGTAAAACAGGTTGACGCCTGGCACAGCAGCCGGTCACAAAAAAATTTGTCACAAACACCAAAAATGCCACAACAAAATTATTTATACATACCGCATCGCCTGTCCCGCGGGTCAACAAGAGGCGCGGCCACTGGTGAGTCACTAGCCAGAGATGATGAGTGGGCTACAACGACATCGGATGGTCTTAACACCAGTCGACCGCCCTGTAAAAAGGTTGAAAATAAAATCAGTCAGAGACTGGGGACAGTGAATGTCGGAACGATGAGGGGGAGACACGGAGAGATTGTGGATATGACAGCTAGAAGAAGGTTAGATTTTTGCTGTGGACAGGAATCCAGTTGGAAGGATGGCAGTTCAAGAACTATAGGGCATGATGATAGATTGTACAAGTTCTTCTGGGTTGGATGCGTAAAAGGAATAGCAGGTGTGGGTGTACTAGTAGCGGAAAAGTGGATAGATAGCGTAGGGGAGATAAGGCGTGTGAATGAGCGTGTGATGGTGCTGAGAAAAGATATTGGGAAGCCCTTACTTAATATTGTTTCATTGTATGCACCTCAGGTAAGAAGGTCAGTAGAAGATAAAGAAGAGTTTTTTTTATTCTTTTGGGTAATGTGTTATAAGGTGTTGGTGAAAAGGAGATTTTGATAGTATGTGGTGATCTCAATGGACATGTTATTGCTAGTGTGGATGGATTTGAAGAAGTGAATGGTGGGAAAAGGGTACGGCGCTAGAAATTTTGAGGGGGAAATGTTACTAGGGTTTGCAGATGTCATGGGGTTGGCTATATGCAATACATGGTTCACTAAACCTGATTCACAGAAGGTGACATATGAGTCGAGGGGCAGTAAGACTCAAGTGAACTATGTATTGATAAGAAAAGAAGAAAACCATAGTCAGTAATGTAAAAGCGATACCAGATGAAGCTTGCATTGCACAACACAAGTTAGTCATTTGTGAAATGAACCTGAATAGCAAGCTTGCAAAGAAGAAGGAAGTATTCGTAAGTATGTGTAGAGTTTAGAAATTGAAGGAGGAGGAGCAACTTCGTGTCTATAAGGAAAAGATTCAAGAAAAAACAGATTTGAGAAGCGATAGAGATGTGGAAAGCATGTGAAATTTGTTTAAGAATAGCTTGCTGGTAGTAGCTGATGAGGTTTGTGGTAGAACTTAGGGCCTGCCGAGACACTGGGAATTGTGGTGGTGGAACGAGGAGGTTGGGAAGATTATAGAGGCAAAGAGAAAGTTGTGTGAGATATGTAAGAAGACCAAGAAGGAGGAGAACAGGATCTTGTATTGCTCAGCTAAGCGAGAGGCAAAAAGAGCAGTTTACATGGCTCAGTCAGAGGAGCAAAAGGTATTTTGTGAAATGTTAGATTATTCAGAGAAAAAAGGGACAGTGAAAGGGAGTAATAATACAAATCATTAGAAAAAATATAAATGTTGTTGGGGTAGGCAGTTTAAAGGGGTCGGATGGTAAACTACTCACGGCTAAAGATAGTGTGAAAGAGAGGTGGAAAGATTATTTTGAAAAGCTATTAAATGAAGAGTTTGAATGGGACCTGCAGAGATTATAACCTACAAAGATATGAAGTTTGCTATTTTCTAGGCCAAGTTAGGAAAGGCTGCTGGTCCATCAGGTCTGGTAGTGGAGATGCTAAGAGCTTCAGGGAATGTAAGTGTCCAGTGGGCAACAGATATTTGTAACGCAATAGTGTGGTAAGGCAAAGTTCTTAATGATTGGAAAAAAACTTGATGGTGACTGTCTATAAAGGGAAAGTGAATGATCTAGTATGTAATCTTATCGAGGCATTAAGCTACTTGATCATGTAATGAAAATCTTGGAAAGAGTAATTGAGAAAAAAGTAAGAAGTTAAGTGTTTATAAATGACATGCAGTTTGGTTTCAGACCACAGAAAGGTACTACAGATCCAATTTTCATAGTTCGGCATATTCAAGAAAGGCATTTTGAAAAGAAGAGGGATTTGTGTATGGCTTTTGTAGACCTTGAAAAAGCGTTTAACAGAGTTCCTAGGGAATTAGTGATTAGGTGGATGTGTAGCGTAACACTGAGGGACAGAAAACGAGTGAAGAGCTCCGACAAAGGTTAAATATAGTAAATGTGTGCGATATGGAGAGACAGGTTATATTAAGATGGTTTGGACATGTGGAACGGAAACAGGAGGATGACTGGGTGTCAACATGTAGACATGTGATAGTTGACGAGGAGAAGAGTAGAGGAAGAGGAGGAAAAACTTGGAAGGAGTGTTTGGCAGATGACATGAGAAAGATGAAGTTGAGAAGAGAAGATGCACAAGACCGCGATGTATGGAGAAGTGGCATCACTTGAAACCGTCCGACCAGTGCAAAACGATGATGATGATGATATGATTTCATCTCTGTTTTCTCTCTGTTTGCGTTACTCTCAAAGTTTCAACAAAACATACGCACAGGGCTTGAGAATACGCCTAAATTCAATCCACTTCTTTTGCATTCGAACTCGGTCACTTCAATCTCAGAATCACGTTCACATTCATACGTTCGAAATAATGCAACATTCTCATTAGCGCATGACTAGACGTACCTAACTATCGTGTCATCATGCTGTTTAAGTTGTTAAATTTGGTTAATTTTCATACAAAAACTTTAAATGTATTTTTTTTACAAGTCCTACAACACAGAGAAGCTGACGGCCTTTATTAACGCTATTAATGGATCAGATGGATCTGGGTTAAAAATTTGTTTTTTTAATTGAATTTTAGATTATTTAATTGGGAAAAATTCGTTATAAGAAACTAATTAAAAAATCATTAGACTAATTTAATTAGCCTAGGCAAATTATCTATTCTATCTAAATATTTAGTTCTGTTGAATTTAATCAATCACTTACAAAAACTTACGTGCATCAGTAAAATACTTCAGCCTGGTTTGAGTTGTTGTCTGATATTTCAAAAGTGGGATTTTTGGGGGATAATAAGCGAACAAATTTTAACAAAAGACTCCAAACAAAAGTCAAAAAACTTGAAAACATTGAAAAAATCGAGAAACAAACTAAGGTTCTCAGATTTGATGGAATGTTGCTGAAATGAAATAAAAATCTGTTGAGTACAATGGGAATGTTGAATTTGGTATTTCAAAGTTTATTCCTAATGGCAAACATCACAGACGAATGTAGTTTTCCGACCTTGTTCTCTCATATTAAAGGAGTATCAGCTAATAAACGGTCGGATGATATGATTTTCCAAAGCAAAGAACAAAAAACATTTAACAATTTATTTGAATATTGAACCGCCTTCACACATAACATAATAAATTATTATTCTGATTGATCGTTTAATTATTTTTTGATTTTATAAAATAATTGATTATTGCTTAATTTTTACCAATTAATTTTATCAATTATAATTACTTTAAATATTTGGCGTCATTACTTGTGATATGTATAAGACTTTTTTAGAGTGGCCGTATTATTAAAGCATCTTATAGCTTTTACAGCTATCCTACTGCTTTAAAGCAAACAAATGAATTGTAAATGAAATAGTGTTTGGATTAATATATAAATCTCAAAAAATGCTTGGCAAATGTCATGTTTGCGAATGATTTTTTTCCAAATCAAACAGTTCCCACCTTGTTACTGTTCCCTCTGGTCCTCTGTTATCAGATGCACTTTTATCATCACCAGTGATTGTTGGTGAGGATGGAGCAGGAGGGATATCAAGTGGTTATGAATTTGGAGTTGACCCAAACGAAGATCCAGAGTTGGCTCTAGTAATAAACTTTTTTCTTTACTTAATTGGGAAGCTTCAAACAAAAAATTGTTGAATAACATTTCTCTTCTTTTATGATAGTTTTTTGGCAAATGATTTAAAACTGGAATTGTCTACTTAAGCTGGTCGTTTTTCATTTGTAGGCTTTACGTGTTTCTATGGAAGAGCAAAGGGCTCACCAAGAAGAAGAAGCTAGACGAGCTGCAAGAAATGCTGCTAGAACAGTCGTTAGCACCATACAGGAAGGTCACTCAGTTTTTTGCTTGATTTATTTATAATAGATGGTAATTATCAAATGTAAATATTTAAAAAACAATATAATACGTTATATATTCATTTATTTACGTACTTATCGTCTGCAAACGTTTAAAATTATCTTAATCAATGAAATATAATGAAATGTTACTATGGAAATGAGGAAAAACATTGATATTGGTAGGTGTTGTGTGATAAAGTTTACTAACTTATAATGAATAATTATTAATAAATTATGAATAATGTTTATCACTAATTTCTTAATTGTTGGTTTGAATTGATAATAATAATCGTTATTTTTATTGTAGAAGCATCGGATGAATTGCTGCTAAAACAAGCTCTTGAAATGTCTATGCAAAATAATGCTGAAAAACAGGAGAATGTTCCTACTACTTCTAAAAGTATATCTGATATGACCGAAGATGAACAGATGGCTTTTGCGCTTAAAATGTCGATGGAAGGTGCTACTAAACTTTTTGTTATCTTAATTTCCAATAAAAATTAATGTGTTTCAATTTTTCAGTACAAAAGTCCAGCACGAATGAGGTACGAAAAATGTTTTAAAATGTTTTGAATTTTTCAAATTTACAAAATTTTTATCGGTTCATATTAATTTTTATTTTGAAAGTTTCATTTTGAATTAGTAATTTATTCCGATGTTGATGTCTGTGCGGTTCTAAGTAATATTTGGTTGGTGTGGATTTCGTTTAAAGTTTTTTCTTTTAGCTTTTGTTTAATTTGGCCAAATAATTTTGTTTTAATCTAATTTTAGAGAATTTGAAATTTTTTTACTAAAATCAATCAATAAAACAATTTTTCATTTTTAAACTGCATATGCATATACCACAGAATAAGCCACCACAAATGTAAGCATGCCTCTTATTATTGTAAAATTGTCAATCAAATTTACACAATGTCTGTCATCTTTTTAAAATTCTTCAACTATTTAATCTAACGAACATGTCAGCCATCGCTGTAAAACTTCTTAACTAATCAAATTAGCAAACGTATATGCTATCACTCATAGATCTCTGGATAAAAATCTGCTTGTGATTATGTGCTGCGGCCGTTTAACTTATCTATCTTTATGTAATTAGGAACGAAGTTTTTGATTGACGCAAGCGTTGTTGAAAATTGCTGCCTATTTGGAGTTAAGTAGATTTTTAATGATAGACTCAGCACAACGTAGTTTTTGCAACACGTATTTATTCAAAGGTTGCATTTTAACATGGCTAACAGCGCTGTTTCGGCAGAATTGCCATCTTCAGGGCCTAAATAAGTTTATTTTATTGCGAACATAGTTAAATAAAATCAAATATTAAATACAGTTCTTATAGCGAACTTCTATCCAACGAAAATTTCTGTATAAAGAATTTTTTATGTCCCTTGGAGTTTTACATACAAAACTGCTTCTATAGAACGAAAATATTTTTTCTACTACATACAAAGTTTATAAAAGTTAAAAGAAATGTCCGAACAACAAACATTCTATGAATTGATATAAACGGTGCTTGTGTATTTCTTTAATATCTTAGAACCATATTTATTGTTTCTTGTTCTAGTATTCTGTAAATTCTACCTCGATTAATTTCAATGAAGTCGGAATCATCGTTACATGGAACAATGATTAAATTTCACTTCTAAAATTATATTTTCCACAATTATACCATGTATTAATACTTTCTGTTTGCAAAATAAATGATTAGGAGGTTGCTTTTCATATATATAGTATATAAACGCCTGTTACGAAATATAGAATTTTTCCCGAACCAATTCTGTATAACGAAATTTCTCTATAACGAATTTTTTTATGGAACCATCAAATACGTTATAAGGAAGTCCGGTTGTGTATAATAAAATATCGACGTGGTTCGCGATGTTGCTGACGATGTCGATCTAGGGTACTTAAAGGTTTCGCGTCACGATATCGAGAATATAACTGTAAAATGGGATAGAATCTATTGTAATATTTACTTTAATATTGTAATATTTACTTTAATATTTTAATATTAAAGTCGGCTTATATACATATGTATATACAAGGCTCTTTTGATTTTCAGTCTAACTGGATGTGATTCATAATCAGGGATATCTTTATGTTGGCATCCATTATAGACTGTTATAGGCTGAGTAAGTGGTATCCAGTATTGGTCGTACATATAATCTTTAATGGCACTGTCCCGTATGTGAAGAGAGCCGTCTAGAAAAAGAAGTTCGCGTGAGTCAGATGTAATTGCCCACATGTTTTTTCCAGATTTTTGAGAATATTAATGTTATTATTCTTTATAATGAGATTTAATGTCCGATTAGTGTTATGGCAGATTATAAGTTTGAGTTGTCGACTGCTGTCACATTGAAATAATTGCTGTTCGAGTTTTGTTGTCATCTGCTGCGTCTTCTCCATGCGTTATGTTTCGGACTTTTGTATTCCATTCACCGGATATTGAATTTAGGAGGAGGTCTTGTTTTAACCACAGTGTCCTTAAGGGAGATGGCTGAAATGCCCACCACCGGAGACTGATCAGTATCAAACTCCATGCCACGATACATACGACAGCTACGAACCACCCACCACCTGCCATTTACCAGGATATGGTCAACCTCCTTAGCCGTAACACCGTCAGACACTAAGTCTCGTGGAGGCACAGAATTCCAAGAAACGATCAGAGTTGTCGTTTGGTGACCCGCTCCCAAAGGGACCAACTACCGCAGGCATACGTCGGTTAACACCCGTTACCGCGTTTAAGTCGCCAGGCAAATGATGAGGTCGGTGGGCCTGGTGAAGCGAAACGAGTCCTCCAGCGCGCTGTAAAAGATATCTTTGGTCTCAGCCGTCGTCTTATTGTTGTTCGCCGTAGTCCGCTTGTCCCAGCCGGCTGACGATAACCGAGACTGCGCGCTCCTTATTAACCCGCGCGACGAGTGATGCGGTATATTTTTTTTGAGACGACTCCATGTGGACAATACATTGGCTGTAGTTGTCCCCAGTTGTTCGCCAGACAAACGTGGGTAGATAGCAAACCAATTAGAGGTTGAAGCAACCATATCGTCCTAAAGACGCACTGCCACGCCTAATTTTCTGTTAGGGTTTACTCCCTTAGCCTTTTCCTAGAAAGGGTATAGCCACAAGGCAGTGGAGGTTTGAAATAAATGTTTACCTTCTCCTAGATGGGTAAGTAGCGAGTCCCATCAACCCGAAGCGACTACTTTTGAGGCGCTAGTTACCCACCTTTGCCGCTTCTCCTGTTAGTTTAAATAGCACCAACTATATCCTTTTTCAGTGTCTAGGCCTGATTTGCTATTCGCTAGAGTGACCGAATTTGTTCGCCTTTACTTCTAGTCAGCCATACCTTGCATTGATTTGCACAAGCTACCGCAACCTGACATTTCGCTTCTGTGTTCTTTGATCTAAACCCTAACCCATTCTGAGTTTAATCAGCATTAGGCGTGAGCTGACTCGAGCCACCTCCAGTACATTTTGTGCCAGTGATTCCCGTATGAAGATTCCCACTTCATTTTGGACTGTCTTTTGGTTATTCCAGAACAACTTGTAACTCCCAATGAGAAATACACCATTTGATTTCCATCATGTTTCCTGCAGAAAACAGTTGTCAATCCTTCGCCTTTCCAGCATGTCGACGATCTCCATGGAGCGTCCAGCAAGCGATACAGTATTTAAAGTGCCAAGTCTGATATTCCAGGGGGGACGCCAGATTTTCCGCAACATCCCTCCACTGTTGCGTACTTTCTGGATATTGTCACTCCTTGACCTTTTAAGGTCTTCCAGGGATTAGGAAATCTTTTCTTTTTTGTGATGAGATGGAAGATGTTTGGGTCAAAACATTTTTATATCTGGAATTGCCCAATTCCTAACGACAATCACTAGCTATAAGCAGTGGGCCTAGCTTTTTTGCTGGAAGCACAAAAGGCAGCGCGGTTGCAGTTTAACTCGTGCCAAAAAGAGTAGCGTAGCCTTTGGGTCAAAAGTTCCTGTTCCACAAAGCAGTGGATTTATAATAGAAGATCATCCGCTGTTGGAGCCGTTGTCCTAAGATCCTCTGCCTCTTTCACCGTTTTCTTCTTTTCTTTGGTACAGTTTGTTCGCGGCATCTTATTCCGCGAACAATTATTCGATGCAATCCTAGAAGGTTTCCCTGCCCAGGACTTTCCCCTATCCACCACCTGGGGACGCACTTCACAGCCAGTGCACCACAGCTTGCAGAAATAATTGGCTTTAATGATGCGTTTAATTTGTGTTTCGTCCATTTTATAGTTGTCGTGCATTTGGTTCAAATAGTATAATGGTACTTTTTGGTTTCTGGAAATTTGTAGAGAATTTGTTGTCAGGTTATTGGTTTTATTGTTTTTATCTGAATATTTCTTTACTATTGAATAAATAAATTTGTTTGAATAGTTATTGTTTATTAGAAATTGTTTTAATGCGGGCTAATTCTGTCTATAAAATATTGATATCGGATGAGGTTTTAAGTGCACGCGTTTGATTTCATTTACCGTTTGATTTATTATTGAATTGTTTATGTAATAGTTAAGTTTTTAATAGTCGTAATTTGGCAGTTAAAAAAGCTGATATACCTGCCGATAAATATTTTAACGAAAATATCATAACCGACTGCAAACCTGAGGACTTACCTTGTCGATTGTTGAAGGAAAGCGCACTTCCCTCGAGTTTAGTTTACAAGCTGATATAAAATTCCCATTTAATTCATGAATAGGAGGCTAAAAATAATTGCTCCAAAGTTGTTTTAATGTTGATTAATGATAAGCTGGAATTTTTTATATGTCACGATAGAATTGAACTTCAAAGAAGTTTTTCTATGTAGTTAATTATGGATAGTCAAACAATCAACATATTTTTTCATTATTCGAAAACATCTACAATTTTGTCTCGAGAGAAATATTTGAACTACACAAGTTTGAAAGCAAATGTATAAAATATACCTCAGTGCACAGCGAATTTCATTCATGTAGAAGAGTTGTACAGCTTGGAACTAAATTTGCTTGTGTAAAAGGCACATAAATTAAACTCCAAATTATTCAACCCCTCTAGCATTGTCGAGAAAATCATTGAGAGAAGATTAACGTCGTGAATCACAATCGGAAATTATCAATTTGGTTTCCTAGCATGGAAATCAATTGATGCAATTCACATTCTTCGGCAACTGCAGGAGAAGTAACTCGCAAAGCATCAACAACTATCACACATTTTTGTAGACCTTGAAAAAGCATTTGACCGAGTTCCCCGTGACGCAATCGGGTGGAGTCTACGTCGACAACTCATTCCAGAATATCTTGTTCGACTTGTGATGGAAATTTATACGAATACTAAGACTCTCGTATTGGTAATTTATCTAAAGTGTCCAATTTTGTTTGTCCTGCTTGCATCAATCCAACAACAAATTCGAAATAGCAATGTTTTTGAAGCCATTAAGGTAGAGAAAGGCACATCGTTTCAATATATAGGGGATGTTTTGGATTGTACTGGAACAGCTGAAGCTGCCGTTCCAGCACGCATACGTGCAGCCTGGAATAAATAGCATCTCCTTGCTTCTATATTGATGCGGCGTGACACCCCACTTCCACAACGATCAAGACTTTATAAATCTGTTATACATCCTGTGTTGTTATATGGTGCAGAAACATGGCCAATGACAACCAAACTGGAACAACAACTTCACCAAACTGACATGAAAATGCAACGAATTAGTCTGAAGGACCACATCAAATCTACCGAAATCCTGCGTCGTGCTGGTTTAAATGATATGAAGGACGAATGCCGGCAACACCGTCTGCGGTGGTTTGGTTATGTCAAACGAAGTGGAAACAGTGCCATAACTTCTCTTGCAGATGTTGAAGTATCTGGCACACGTCCCAAAGGCCGTCCAAATAGGTCCTGGTCGCAAACAATCGAGCAAGACATGAAAACTTTAAATTTAAATGAAATTGTTATAACTGATCGTCTAATTTGGCGCGAAAAATTGATGGCATAGAAAACAAGGTCCTACCTCAAGATAACTGAGTCTCTGGACGCTAAAAGAAGATTGATTGATTGATTGATTGATTGATTGATTGATTGATTGATTGATCTAATTGATTGATTGATCAAGAATTGAGAAAGTGACAGTCAAATCGGTGGTTTCTCAAATCTCATTATTAAAAAGTGCAGGATTATCATTGGAAAAAATTATACTTTTATTGATAGCTTAGCTTAAGTCATGATAATGTTGTTTCAGTGATGGTCCAACTGATCAAATTCTAAAAAAAAATGAAACCACTCCAACAGCCAAATAAAAATTATGCCAGCACCATTTACTTTACGGCAGGGGCAGTGGCAAGAAGCATACTGGATTAAGTAAGATGCAAAGATCGTGAAAAAATTTTAATTGAGCTTTACCAAAACCCAAATTTGACAAATTATCTGGATGATGTTAATAGAAAAGGTTTACCATCTGAATATGTTTTTGATTTATTTTCAACTGAGGATTTTCAACCCGTTGAAAATTCTCAAAACTTTTTTCAGAAATTTTTAAGAACTAAATACCGGGGAAAAACTGGTTTGTGTCAATTGTTAACAAGGATGTTGAAAATGGCATACTTTTAGTAGATAACTTATTTTGTGTCCTGAGCCATGATGCTAAAAAAAATGATATTAGACGTTTTTGTAACAGCTTGTTAAAAAACTTTACTAAAGACGTGAATGAAAATTCCAGTGATAACAAGAGTTACAAAAAGCGAAAGCTAAATAAAATCACAGGACAGTTTTAATATTTCGTTGTAAATCATTTAAAATGTTTACGTTTTCATTTAATCATTAAAATATATTTATACACTTATTTCTTGGTATGCTGCAGCATAGTATGGTTGTGATGGATGTGACATCAAAAGAAATGGGGAGGAGGAAGAAGGATAAGTTTGTGACAAAGAGAAAGACATGGAAGTTGCAGGATGCAGAGGTGAGGAAGGCATTTGAGGTGAAGGTGGCTGAAAATTGGGAGAGTGGTAAGGATGGAGATGTTTGGGAGAGATACAGGGATTGTGTGTTGGCTACGGCAGATAAAGTATGTGGATGGACGAAAGAAAAGTGTAGGCATGGTGAGACGTGGTGGTGGGATGAAGATATAAGAAGGGTTTTGGAGGTCAAGAAGGAGAGGTTTAGGGTATGGAGAAGGGACATGACGGAGGAAGCGGAGTTTGAGTATAGGAAGGCTAAGAAGGTTGCATCAGATAGGTTAATGAAGGAAATAGAATTTGATCTGAGTTCGAGGAAAATGATCAAAGCAGTCAATGAGGGATAGGAAAGATGTTATAGGGAATGGATGTGTTTGGGATGGATCTGGCAAGTTGTGCATAGATGAGGAGGAAAAAGCTCAGGTGTGGAAAGCTCATATGGAAAGGTTGAAGAATGAAGAGAATGAGTGGGATGGAGATGTGGAATCCGCGGTTACACCTATAGAGAAGGTGACGATGGAGGAAATAGAGAAAGCAGTTAGAGAAATGAAACTAGGTAAGGCGACAGGGGTTTCGGAATGTGCGTCAGAACATATAAAAGCGAGTGGGGTGATAGGAATTGAAGTTATGATGAGAATTGCTAACAGTATGTTTGATGATGAAGGTATACCTGAGGATTGGCGACACAGTGTGTTAGTGCCGTTGTATAAGGGCAAAGGAGATGTGAGAGATTGTGGGTCATATAGGGGTGTGAAATTGCTAGAGCACGGAATGAAGGTAGTGGAGAGGGTGCTTGAGAGGAGGTTGAGAAATATGGTGACAGTTAATGAAATGCAGTGTGGGTTTATGCCTGGTAGGGGAACGGTGGATGGTGAGAATGTTGCAGGAGAATTATAGAAAGAAGAAACGAAGATTGTACATGTGTTTTGTGGATCTAGAAAAGGCTTTTGATCGAGTACCGAGGAAGGTCATTGAATGGGCGTTGAAGAAGAAAGGAGTGAATGAGAGACTTGTTAAAGCTGTGATGCAGCCGTATGAAGGGGCAAAGACAAAGGTGAGGGTTGGAAGGGGGATGTCGGACGCTTTTAGTGTTAAGGTAGAAGTGCATCAAGGATCAGTGTTATCACCGTTTCTGTTTGCAATTGTGATGGATGTTGTGTGTGGAAACAAAATGGAGGGGTTGTTATTTGAGATTTTGTATGCAGATGATTTAGTCTTGATGGCTGATAGCATGGAAGAATTGCAGTTAAAACTTGACAGATGGAAAAGTGTTATTGAAAAGAAAGGGTTAAAAGTTAATATTGGTAAGACGAAGATAATGGTGAGTGGGGAAGCGAGTGATAAGTAAAACAGACCCCTGTGGGGTATGTGACAGGAGAGTGAAAGCTAACTCGGTATTGTGTATAGGATGTCAGAAATGGGTGCATAAGAGATGTACTGGTGTGAGGGGGGCACTGAAAAAGGTGGAAGGCACGTTCAAATGTAAGAAATGTGTTCATGGGGTGAATAATAGGACAGACGCAAGGACGTGGTTGAGTGGTGGTATTGAAAGAGTGGGAAGCTTTGTTTACTTCGGGGATAAGCTGAACGCGGATGGAGTATGTTTGAACGCAGTTACGGCTAGAGGATAGATGAAATTTAGGAAACTGGGTGGGGTATTGTGTGGAAAGAAATGGTCAGTGAAGATGATTGGGAGGGTATATAAAGCATGTGTGAGAGCAGCGATGGTATATGGTGGTGAAACTTGGGTGTTGAGGAGAGAGGAGGAAAGTGTACTGCAGAGGGCTGAAAGAGCTATGGTGAGGATGATGTGTGGGGTTAAAGTTGAAGGATAGGGGGAGTAGTACAGAGCTGATGTCAATGATGGGACTGAATGAGGACATTTTGACATTGATAAGGAGATCAAGATTGCGGTAGTATGGACATGTATTGAGAAGGGATGAAAGGGTCGGGATTAGGCGAGCGTTGGAGTTCGAGGTTGAAGGAGTGGTAGGAAGGGGTCGTCCGCGATTGGGATGGAGAGAGCAGGTGGAGAAGGAGAGGGTGAAAGCGGGGTTGTGTGATACTGAGGCGAGTGACAGATGTGGATGGCGTCGAGGGTTATTCCGGTTTCATCATTGGTAGCCAAACGGCAACCCCCGATCTCGGTAAAAATGTCGTCTAAACGTGTTCCTTCTCCTTATACACTTATTTGTTGATAATTTTTTTTATAAATTGGAATTTTTTTTATTATCAATGGTTTTGACTTTCTATTTCATAAATACATTCATTTCATATTAATTTACAAGCATTTACGTTCGTTAATAAAGTTATACGATACCCTCATTTCTGCGAAGGACTATTTTCAATTTTTTTATCTAATTTTAGTCCAGAGATCCATGGCTACCACTGTAATGTCAAATAATAAAATTAATGAGCTTGACAGCCATTACTTTAAAATTCTTTAACTAATCAAATTAACGAAATTGTCGCCGTACTTCTAAACTCAATTTCAACAAGTCATATTAACGAACATTCAACGCATGACACTGCAAAAGGGTGTGCTGAAAGAATAGTTCTTTTAAACACCGTATTCTTTATAAACTAAGAAGGCCGTTCTATAAATTAGGCACGTTTAATTTTCACTACACACTCAGTTGGCATTGTGATGTTGCCACTCAATCAACATATCAGGTAAAGACCTTCATCACAAGACATTTTAAATATATTACCACTCAGTAAAATTTTATCATTTATTCAATCTAATTTTCTTTTTTTCTTATCGATCACCTCACCAGCTCACTAAGTCATTATCTAGTCCATTAATAAATTACTTTATTTATTTGCGTTTTTATACCATCACTTTATTTTATTTTCAATACTTTTCATGTTTAAGCATTTTTTCTCCGTTACTTATTTATTTATTATTTTTCGTTACCATTTTATACTATTGTCTTCCAATGCTGTAACAGTTTCTGCGTCTGTCAGATCCTGATTTTTAAAGAATAATAAAAAAAATATTTATTACATGTATATACAAAAATGTATGCAAATTTCAAATTCCTTTATTCAATTAACTGGTACTTTTGAATGTTTTCCTATTCTTTTCAAGACTCGTCAAATTATTTTGAGTTTGACATCATAGCAGAGAACTGAGATCTGAAACACGTTAGACAATTTATGCCTACGAGATGTATTTACAGACGCACATTTATTATTGTAAGTGGTAATGCGACGATCTCAACACTAATAACCAAAAAATAACCGAAATTAAAAAATTAATTCAAACTAAGGTTATAAGTAAAATTGGTATATTCCATTCTCTTTCCAATGCTTCATTGGCTTCCAATTTCCGCTCGAATCATCTTCAAAATTGCAGTCCTTACCTTCAAAACCCTTTTATTAAAATCCCCAACATCTATACGACCTCATATCCAGACATGAACATACTAGATCAGATTTCTTAAACATTCCCGCCTGGCTGGCCGCGGTTTTCGTCACGCTGCTCTGTATGTCTGGAATGCGTTACCTCCTGAGTTAAGACAATGTTCCTCGTTGAGTCTTTTCAAAAAGGGATTAAAGACTCATCTTTTTAACACGGGCTCCGGGCGCCTCTGAAGCAGCTGTGCGAATGGGCGCTTCATAAATGTTTATATTATTATTATTATACATTTTTTTCAAAAAAATTTCGTATATTATTTTGTTTCGGTTTTTGAAAAATTCAGTTCAATTGTTTTCGTTTTATAAGTCAAATTTTTTTGGTTTCTTTCATTTTCATTAACGAAACCACATCAACCGCATTCCATTTAATTTTAAAAACCTTTCTCACATAATTTCTATTTCAACTACTAGGAAGAAACCAAAATGGAAGAAGATGACATGACTGAAGTGTTGAATGACACTGATTTTCTGAGAAGCGTGTTAGAGGGGTTACCGGGTGTTGATCCTCAAAGTGAGGCAGTCAAGGAAGCTGTTAGTCAATTGTCTAAAAATAACGAAGAACCAGAAAAAAAAAATTCAAAAAAGAAAGATGACAAATAACAACGTTCTCTTAAGCAAGATATAAACGATTACCGATTTTATTTATGCACAAAAATCTTTTAGCGATGAGCTCGATAGTTTAGACTCATCTTTATTCGTTTGTTCCACAAAAAAAATTGTTATAGATGTTTTTTCTTGTTTCTGTTTAATAACTAGGAGTTTTAATAAATGTTTTAATTAAAGATGTTTTTATGTTTTATTGGATATGATCGTAATCGATATCATGATCTTTTTTCAAAATCATTTGTGTTTAACAGTTTGTTCGTTTTGGATTCCTGTCGAACGTTTGATTTTTCCGGAACCCCACCTTTTTCATTTACTACCTTCCAGTCAACTAGAAAGTTTCTATTTGACCTCAAAACCCATCTATTGCAAAGTTCTGTTGAACCGCATGGAATTAACCCTATAAAAATAATTTCTTTTCTTACGTGGTTGTATTTGCATGAATTTTCAAACAAGCTTTTAGGTAACTGAAGTAGTAAGACTGAAGAGATAAAGGTGGGGTTACTGAAAAATCAAACGCTTGACTGAAATCCGAAACAAATTATTAAAGGCAAATTAATTTGAAAAAAAAAAGATTAAAATATCGATTTCATATGAAGTAAACAGCACTATCTCAAGTACGACAAATGTGGTTAACAAATTTATTTGCATTTACAATATCTATAAAAAATATTAACTTAACTCGGTTATTTAATATTTAATTTTTTGACTAATATAATTTTTATCAATCAATTAGGTTTATTTACTAGTTTATTATCAGGTATGACAAATGTGGTTAATAAATTTATTTGCATTTACAAATCTCTTTATAAAAAATATTGAGTTAACTCGTTATATTGAAAAAAGTTGAAGGTTTATTAGACTCTTCTAATGTTCAGAGGTATCAACACAAACAATGTACATGAATACGAATAAGTTTGTGCAGCTCTTTCCAAAATGAAATCAAATAAAACGCCAGGCCCAGATGAGAGTTGTTGGAAAAATTAAATGCTTTTATGAATTTGGTATTGAAAAAGTTGCAGAAATTTTGAATGAGATATATAACAGCGGCAAAATTAGCCAATATTTATTGCACTGCCTAAAAAGTCAAAAAACGTAATGCAACCGACTGAATTACATGGAACAGCAAGCTTGATGATCCATCTTACAAAACTACTTTTGAAAATTCTTATGATAGAAAATCTCGAAGCAAAATCAGATCTGAAATTTCTAATGTCCAATGTGGTTTTGTCGAGGATTGTGGTACAAGAAACTTTTTCTTTATGCTGCGAATGATCAGTGAACGAGCGATTAAATTGAAGTGACTTGTTAATATTTTTTGTCGATTACTCAAAAGCTTTTGATAGCGTGAAACAAGTGGAGCTTATGGAAATATTGGTAAATTTGGACATTGATAGAAAAGATATGAAAGTTATCCAAAACCTTTATTGGGACCAAAGAGCAGCGATGAAAGTTGATAACAAGTTTTGTCTAGTTTTGTTGAAATAAAGAAAGGTGTTAGTTCAGGCTGTGTATTCTCTCCAGACTTGTACAATCTTTATAGTGAGATCATCATGAGAAAGATAGAAGATCTACCCGGAATTTCCATTGGAGGCGTTAATATAAGAAATGTTAGGTATGTTCATGATACAGCTCTTATAGCGGTATCAATGGGAAAACTGCAAACAATTGTTTTCAAATCGGTTTTTTAAAGTGAAAAGAAAGGCTTGCAAATTAACATCAACAAAACATGGTGCATTTGTTAGACTCTGGATTGTAAAAGCAAAATTATCTTTTCCATAATCATAGTAAAAGCAAAATCATCTCGATCTACTCCATAATCATAGTAAAAGCAAAATCATCTCGATCTCCTCCATAATCATTAATGGTAAACAAATCAACAGCTTTAATTATCTCGGAAGTCTGATTACCTCAGGTTGTAAATGTGATATGGATAGCAAAAGAAGGATAGTTCTGGCGAAAGATGCTTATTCTAACTTACAACTCTGAGTCCTGGACAATTTTTTAAAAAATGGAGTCTTGGACAATTTCTAAAGAAATTGAAAAAAAGATTAATGCTGCTGATATGTGGTTTTTGAGAAGAATTATGAAAATTAGTCGAACCTCTCAAACCTCAAATGTATTAAAACAGTCCGATTATGAAAAGAAGAAATTACTACAAATAAACTATTGAAAAATAAAAAATTAGAAAAATTCGGTTGACATGAAAACGCAGGAGAAATACGACAGATGTAAGCACAATGTCGTTATTCATATGACGACATATATACAATACCCCTTTTATATACCATTATATAAAACAAATTTAACTATTTCTGAGTACGACATTATTTTTACATATATAATTAACTAATTTGTGTTAAAATATAAACAAAATACTTTTATTACATTACGTTAATTATGTTTCATTACAGTTTATTTTATTTCATTTGGTTTAAGTATGACATTTCATATTTTAGATAAGATATTAGAAAATATATATCTTATATATATATATATCTTATATATTATTATATATATTATATATCTTATATATTATCTAATCTTATATATATCTGGAAAATTATAAAATGGCGATGTTGTGAAAATTGGCAGTGTGGAGAGAAGATCGAAATATCTGATACAACTAAGATCAGAGATAGAACAAATATAGGCTTTGTAGAAAAAATTTGGAAGGTATGCGGATAAATGGAAAAAATGAAACAGAAAATGTCCGAAGGAGAAGCTACAAAAGTGGGCCTTGATTGTATGAGTTCTGGCAACGTAGGGGTAAGACTTATTTACTTTGAACCGAGTTTGAAAAATAAACGCTGTGGGTTTCCTCAAAGGGCTGACCAAGAAGCAAGAGGATAGTAAAAAAAATTGTATGCAAAAATGAATATTCCAGCTTCAAAAATATTCAACTTTTGGGAGGGTTTTAGGTATGACCGGCGTAGAGATAATTTGTCGGTGATAGTTTAACTCGACAGTAGCTGTTACTCATGGTTCTTTATCGTCAACCAGAATGTTGCTGTCGTTATATATATTTCGTTTTTTTGGAAAATTGTCTAACCATAACCTCAACTTTAATAACTTTTTTTGGCAATTTCCCACAGGAATTGAGTTTCAACATTTTAACACATTTTACTACACACCATTACAAACATATTGATGAAGAAATTATTTGGTAACAATTTAATTGGAAAATTTGTGAAATTTTAGATAAAATGCCCTTACTAATTTGAATTAAAAGTTTTTGTTTAAAATCATAAGTTTTTGATTTGTCTAAGCTGTAACCGATAAAAACCCTTACATACCTAAAACCATGACAGTTCCATTAAACACAATGGGCTTTCATTAACACGTTTTGATTACCTCTACAAGGCTTCAGGCGTTGTATGTTCCATGTGTTGGCTTTTCTTTCTAGCGGCAGTTTGCTGTATAATTGATGGTCGAAAATTTTACGTCTGGAAGTATTCCATTTCACACATTGTTTAAACTCACGATTAATATAGAACCTAAATTTCACTGAAGATAAAATAATGGGTATAAAAAACAGGAAGAAAAAAAAAACAAAAATTTATTTTAAGTTTTATTGCAATATACAAAAATTATGACTTGTGAAATCAAGCTACATAAATGAAAATATGCTAAATTTAAAGTTAGAACTTCAATAAAAATGAGAAAATTAAATATTAAATGCCATTTGTTTTTTATTGAGAACTTTTTTGTTTTTTCCAATGGAAGGTCGACTTTGAAAAGTTGAAGAAACATCTCCTATATTAAATATTAAATTAATAGATAAAAAAATTATAAATATGTAAACAGTATTAATATATATCAAATTCAAATAAGATTATTCGACAATCTAAATTCTACCGAATGTCCTTAAATTAAAAAAAATATTGGAAATTAATTATATAAAGTTGATATTGATTTAACCGTTTGACTATAGAAACATGACGGAAAAACAAAAATATAAAATGTAGGTATAATTTATTTAAGCAAGATTTTGTCCTATGTTTTAAAACTTTTCAACATTCTAAACATTTAATTTTATTAAAATTAATAAGATTGTAAATAAAAAATGAAGGTATGAAAGGAGCCAAATTAAAATATTAAATATTTCATAACTAAGACTGTATATAAAAATTAGAATTATCAATTTGTAATAAATTAATGTAAAAAATTAAAAAAAGAAATTACAAAATAAAATTGAACAGAAAGTTATGGCACTGTTTCCACTTCGTTTGACATGACCAAACCACCGCAGACGGTGTTGCCGGCATTCGTCCTTTATATCATCTAAACCAACACGAGGCAGGATTTCGGTAGATATGATGTGATCCTTCAGACTAATTCATTGCATCCATCGGAGCATTTTCATATCAGTTCGGTGAAGTTGTTGTTCCAGTTTGGTTGTCATTGGCTATGTTTCTGCACCATATAACAACACCGGTTACATTGCTGAAACTTGATTGAATTGTTACCGACACTAGCTTTACAAACTGAACTGGGCCATCGTCCAGTAGCCGTGGATTGAATGGGTTCACCAGTGTTCATTGCTTTGGTTTTGCTGATGTTGACTTTGAATCCATGATCGGCCAGTCTGGTGTTCCAATCTTCAAACATCTGTGCTGCATTCTGTTCAGACGTGGCTGTTAAAACAATATCATCAGCATATATTAGATTCCAAATGTCACCAGTGCGCATCGGTTTTGTGATTTCTTGCATCACAGTGGACTGTGATGACAAATAACAGTGGACTGAGAATCGAGCCAACGCCGATGTCAAATCCATCTATGTTTCCAACCGTTGTGCCGACGAAAGTCTTAGTATTCGTTTACATTTCCATCACAAGTCGAACAAGATATTCTAGATTGAGTTGTCGACGTTACCGACTCCACCTGATTGCTTCATGGGGAACTCGATAAAATGCTTTTTCAAGGTTTACAAAAATGTGTGATAGTTGTTGATACTTTGCAGTTGCCGAAGGATGTGAATTGCATCAATTGTTGATTTCCCCGCTAGGAAACCAAATTGATAATTTCCGATTGTGATGCACGACATTAATCTTCTCTCAATGATTTTCTCGATAATTTTCAAAACTTCAAACTTCATAAATTAAAGAAATTAACAAATAACTATTAAATTCCAAGCTACATATACTGAACTGTAAAAACTCATAAACAATGATTGAGACCAATTATCAGCTACATCTCTACTCCAACATACATCCATCTGTTCCATCGAGACCGATAGCATTATCTTTTTTTCCTCAGAAACCTGTCTTGACTCAGCTTGCAAAAAAGATGGCAAAAAATGAAAAATGCCTTCATATGAAATGATATTTTTTCTATATCTCATTCAATGCTCCATTCGTTTCTGCTGTGCTCTCCATTTTCGCTTGACTTCTAAGCTGCAATCATAATTTCTTGTAATTAGGCTTCCCAGGTATACAAACTGATCTATCTCTTCAATATTTTCTCTATCTACCCTTATATCAGCTACCATAACTTTTGTTTTTTTTTATTTAAAAAAATTCGGGCCTGTGATTTCCTAAATCTAAAATTTAATTCAAATTGGCATTGTGATGATAGCTGGATGTCCGTATGTCCGTTACATGCGTTTAAGGAACTATGCTTAAAAAATTTAAGTTTCGGAGCGAAACCGAAAACCAAAGAAACCGATATTAGTTTTGCTGACTGAACCGAAACCGTAAACCGAAACGAAAAAAATTAGGGTTCGTAGCTCTGGTTTTATGTGAAGAGGTGGAAGGAAGATTTTGGTAGGAATCTCTGATAAATGATAAACTCTGAAAAGCCTTCTAACCAAATAATTTCACTTGTGTTTATTTCTCCCTGACCAATTCATCCTTACTTCACAAAATCAAATGATGTCACAACTGTAATCTTTCAACACGTGCTTTTTTTATACCTTCTTGTCTGCCACACCGTTTGCACATTTCATGTTTTGACTAATATAATTTTTATCAATCATTCTAATATTTCTAGATTCAGTATTAAACTTTTCATTGCAGTCACTAGTCCGCAAAACTGCCGCTAAACTTCCATCATTTTGTTCCAACAATGCCACATAGCAAAATATCTTAATAAAGTTATCATACCGATACACTACATACCAAGTAGATACAACTTTAAAAAAACATCTGAATTTATCAATATTGTTGTTATAATGCTCAATCACAAAATAGTTCTCCACTATGAGATACATCTCATAATTTCACTTGTGTTTATTTCTCCCTGACCAATTCATCCTTACTTCACAAAATCAAATGATGTCACAACTGTAATCTTTCAACACGTGCTTTTTTTATAACTTCTTGTCTGCCACAACGTTCGCACATTTCATGTTTCGACTAATATAATTTTTATCAATCATTCTAATATTTCTAGACTCAGTATTAAACTTTTCATTGCAGTGACTAGTCCGCAAAACTGCCGCTAAACTTCCATCATTTTGTTCCAACAATGCCACATAGCAAAATATAGCAAGATGCATAGCGTTTCCTACGGTGTTGGTTTTCATCCGTAGTTTGCTGTTTGTATCAGTATTACTGATAAACTTATAAATATTTATAATATACACGATATATAGTATATAACAAATAAAAAATAGAAACAAAATCAATAGATTAAAATCAAATTGCTCCACTAGCGTCCAATTATCGATATTCCGTATGTTCAAGATTTCTGATAAATAAACACAACTGCTTCAAAGGCAAACTAGTATAAACGTTTATTAAAATGCCAACAGTAATAGAAACACCAAATTATTGACTAATCGAAAAAATACTTTCGATGTCACACGATAGCCAACAATTCACTTCGCAACTAAATAAATCACATCTAAAACATCGCTACTTTTATAATTGTAATATTGTATATATACAGATATATATATATATATAATTAATAATACTTAATAATTATTCTACATTTTCTCTAAGAAAGTATATAGAAACATCACAATAACTAGAAACATCACAATATTTAGAAACAATGAAACATAAAGATTCCAGCAGTCATAACATTATATATATATACACGACGAGACAAAGTTGTTGTATTATTACATTATATTTGTTTAAAACTAGTGGCATAATGAAGGTAACAGCACTCGGTATGGGTGCAATTTTCAAAGCCTTAAATTATATATCATAAGAATAGACAAACAACAACAACAACATACGTTTAGACGGCATTTTCCCCGAGATCGGGGGTTGCCGTTTGGCTACCTATGATGAAACCGAAATACCCCTCGACGCCATCCACATCTGTCACTCACCTCAGTATCACGCAACCCCGCTTTCACCCTGTCCTTCTCCACCTGCTCTCTCCATCCCAATCGCGGACGACCCCTTCCTACCACTCCTTCAACCTCGAACTCCAACGCTCGCCTAATCCCGACACTTTCATCCCTTCTCAACACATGTCCATACTACCGCAATCTCGATCTCCTTATCAATGTCACAATGTCCTCATTCAGTCCCATCATTGACATCAGCTCTGTACTACTCCCCCTATCCTTCACTTTAACCCCACACATCATCCTCACCATAGCTCTTTCAGCCCTCTGCAGTACACTTTCCTCCTCTCTCCTCAACACCCAAGTTTCACCACCATATACCATCGCTGCTCTCACACATGCTTTATATACCCTCCCTTTCATCTTCACTGACCATTTCTTTCCACACAATACCCCACCCAGTTCCCTAAATTTCATCCATTCCACACGAACTCTAGCCG